GTGAAGTTCTGTCTAAAACTTTTCTTTACTTTTCGTTTTGATGCAGTTTTTCATCTGTTATAGTGCAAAAGGACCTTCTGCCAAAGGACCTTAACCTAGTAGGTTGATCGCTAGAGTTTTGCGCTCTCAACAATAATGCAAGAAAAGCGGCCATGGAGCTCAAAAGTTGTACGCTCTCAAAGGTCACTTTTGACGCACAAGAGCTGCCAAAGTCTACAGCAATTTTTACGCGCAGTTGTTGTCGTTACCGCAGGGGCATTATATTATTTGTAAAACACTAGACTATAGTTGTGCTATCTTCTCAATTCTTTTGCGTGCGTCCTAGGAATTTTACTGGTTTACTCGCATTCAAAAAGCTGTTTCACGCTGTATTTTTAATTAAGAATAAATCAATAACAACGAAATATAAGTGTGAGTTTTCGCATCTTGAGTGAGGGAAGGATGAGGATGATGAGCGAGATGGGGAAGAAGAAATAGAAACAAGACATTATATCACATTTATTGGCTGTATTAGTAAGAGTACAACAGCTCCAGCGGCTCTATCCCGCGCGACCGCTTCGCTCGGCTTTGCGCCACGTTCGCGAACGTATCTTTGGATATTTTCCCAACTGCACGAACTGTTTATCTGGGGAGCTGCCGTTCGCGAAGGCGCCGCAATCGTGAGTGAAACGAAGGGGACTGAGCCGCTGGGACTGCGACACTCCCACTGAGACATCCTATGTGTGCTTTATCGTAGCTGGAGATTGCATATCATCATCAGCCACTATTATATCTTGTAGATACTTTGATTCAGGCAGCCAGCGTGAATCCGATAGACCCAATGATGATGAAAGGATATGGGCGAGAGATTTTGAGTGTATGGAAGCAGCTCGATGAGTGTGACCCTAAAGCAAAGCGGTTTCCACTGACTGCTGGACGAGACTGTGCTGGAGTAGTGGAACTTGTTGGTGGAGGAGTGAAGCATTTGCGGCCTGGTGATGAGGTAGCTAGCAAGACATATGATTTCGTAATTTGGAACTTCTTTTTAGGTCATGGCAGTAGTGCCAGGTATTATGCAAGGAAGCCATGCCGAGTACGTTGTAACGGAAGAATCATGTTGCTCCAAAAAACCTTCCAATCTTGATTTCGCAGAGGCTGCTGCAATGCCCTATGTGACGAGCACTGCGTATGCAGCTTTTGTATTTTTTGCAAGAATGAATCCGGACAAAAAACCATGTAAGGTAAATTCATTTTTGTCCTATTTGTTTCTCCATGATGTTGTTTGCAGCCGAAAGAGTTCTCATTCATGGTGCTTCCGGAGGTGTTGGTACCATGGCAATACAATTGCTGAAAGCTTGGGGCGTCGACAAAGTCGTCGCTACATGCTCGGAAGAAAGGTATGTTATTTCTCATAGCTTGAAATGTTCATAAAAAATTGCTGTTCCAGTGCTGATACTGTGCGCGAACTCGGTGCAATCACTGTTGACTATCGGGCACCTGATGCTCGTGATCGGATTATAGAAGAAGGACCATTCGAAGTGATTCTGGATTGCGTCGATTCAGATCTGGCAAGGTGGAGTGATCAAGTAAGCGCTTTTATAGCCCCTGTGGCGAGACATTTTTTTAATTAAAGGATGCTAGTTCGAATTTGTTAGATGACTATATACTTTTGAGCCTGTGCTTGAGCACTTACAAATCCCGGCAATTTCAACCTGCGTACTAAATTTCACTGCACATTTTTGACTCCTCGCCCAAGTAACCAAGGATCTTACAATGGATCCGTACAGCAGAATTTCGAGTATAGTTTTTTCTCTTCGTTCCTGTGCAAAGGTTTAGCAAATCTGCGTGCAAGGGGGTCGAGATGCTTTACCTGTTTAGTTTAGTTTACAAAGGTTTCAGATCAATCTCACTGCAGGTACTCGGCGTATGGCGGAATTGCGTTCACGTTAGTATAGTTAGCCCTATGTTGCGAGACACCGATCGGCATGGATTTGTACAAGGCATGATTTCCACCGCAATCAAGTATATGTCGCGAAGCACTGAAGTGAGTACTGATTCTTTCCTATGATCTTCTTTTTCCACGGTTAATTCTTCATAGACATATCTCTTGTATACTTGACTACGCTCCAAACTCACGATATAACATTTCGGAATGATCACTCTTTTTTATAAAATTTCCAGAGTGCTTTGCGTGGGCGATGGTTCACTTATGCTTTCTTTATACCCAGTGAGAAGTGCATGAAGCAGCTATCAAAGTTTGCATCTGAAGGAAAGGTAAGGTTTTTTGTTTTTGATTTGTATTACAGAGACAATTTTACAGATAAAACCAATAATTGAACAAGTACGACCGTTTGGAGAATTGCCAGCTGCGTATGAGAAAGTTCTAAAATTGCATGGCAAAGGGAAGTTGGTTTTAGAATGGTAAACTAGCTAATGATTGCCTTGTCTGCAAATTGCTCAATTAGGTTATTCGTATTTCATTTTTAATTGTGATTTATATGCGGATAGGGTGTGTTAAAGATGTTTTCCTACTTTTTTAAAGACTAGATCTCAAAAATTTGAGTGTGATTTGTAGATACCTCGTATTCCCTTAGCGGACACTGGTTTGATTGCCATTTTTATAGGATATTGATACAGAGTTTTCAAATATATTTATTCGTCGATAAATTTTACATTGCACATACTTATAGTATTTGATTGTGAACAAGCGCTCACAAGGCATATCACAATGATCCTGCAAACTAGATCAAACTCTCAGATGAGTTAAAGGACATTATATAAGATCAAGTCCGAGTGAATCAGTGGCAGCTGTCAACAAACAAACAAAGCACACGATGTCTGAGCACAAAAAACAGAAAGTGATCCAGATCATACTTACAATGTAGCCCTAGAAACGTTCCTGAAAATGCCGTCATAGTAAGTATACATTTGGATAACTGATTAAGTGAGATGAAGTGAAGCACATGAAGGAGAGAGAAGCTCTCATGAAAGAGGAGATGCGGGAAGATCTTGAGAAATAAGCATCAGGAAGCTGAGGAGCATCCAACTGCTGATGATGGGGTCGGAATCGGGAACATCTAGGAATAGGTATAATCTAGCAGATTGACGGTGTTTTTGCTTTGCCAACAACATTTGCGCGTAAAAAATGACTAAGGAGCGTAAATGATTGACAAAATTTTCCACGCTTAATTGTTGTTAGCGTCGCAGAAGCACATTGTTAATCGTCAAGTGCACTAGAATATATAGGCTTTGATGGAAAACTCAGCGATTCATCTAATCTTCTTCGTATTCGTATAGTTGTTTGTACAGTGGACAGCAAAAGCAGCACCAACAAGACAAGCCGATCAGCACTGCAAACAAGTAGATTAATGAGGGAAACACTCCAACATTTGAAAATCTTTTTTCTAATTCAGGTTACAATTTTTACTTCAATAACTTACGGAGTTTCAAGTTTTAGTGCTCAAGATTTCTAGTTATTTGAATGATAGTAGGAGAAAAATTTTATCAGTATTTATGATACTCACAATTTACCCGCCCTTTTAAAGCTATTTCATTCTGTTTCTCATATTTTTCCACTAATGACTAGCCCTTCTCGTTATCGAAAGGACTCTGAACATATAAAAATTAGACTGCAAATATCCTTGCGCTAATTTATCTCTATATGTGACGTACAGGTTTGTTATGGTGATTTTGGCAGATTTTCAATAGAGTTGAAAATTATAAGCAATGCCCAGGTTTAAAG